ACAATTCAGGCTGCAATTTATTTCCTTCAAAATCTATAGATAATTGTCTTACCTCATGATTTGCCTTGGCAGAGAAGGCAGGGCTCACAGTAGTAATCAGAACAAAGAAAATCAATTGTGTTTATTTCAAATCTGCTGCTAGGTTACAGCAACAAATCTGGCTGTTGCTTATAAGGTAGTAACAAGTTTACTCTGGTTTTGGTATTTAGGAAGTCATAATATATGTATAGTATTAGTTTCCTATTGCTGCCATAAAAATTCACCACAAATTTAGTGGTTTAAACAACATAAATTTATCATCTTACAAGTCCATAGTTCAAAAGTTTCACACAGGTCTCATTGCACCAAAGTCAATGTGTTGGTAGGGCTGTTTCTTTCTGGAGGATCCAGAAGAGAATTTTTTGTCTTGTCCATCTTCTAGGGACTACATTCCTTGGCCCATAATTCCCTTCTTTCATCCCTTCTCTACCTTCAGAGCCAGAAACTGTATCTCTCAAACCCTGATCTGTCATCACATCTCCCTCTCTGATTCTATTCTTTTGCCTCCCTCTTCCGTTTTAAAGATTCTTGTGATTACATTGTATTTACTTAATTTGTGATAATCTTATTGTAAGGTCAGCTGATTAGTCCTTACTTCTATCTGCAATCTTAATTCCCCTTTGCCATATAAGATAACATTTAGAAATTCTGGTGAGTAGGATGTGCATCTCATGAGGGCTCATTATTCTCCCTATCACCATATATTAACCTAGTAATCTGTAGTGAATAGGAGTGAGGTTCAAGAGACAAATCACTGAGAAAACAGAGCCATTTTGGAATTTTAGTTCCCTAGCAGGTTCCTGAAGAGTCAAGATAGGCAGTTCACGGGTATTCAGGAGCTCATGGCCACTGAGGAGTCTGAAACAGTAGCACAAGTGGGACCTGCTTTTTCTGTTACTAGATACTTGTATTTAGTGGGGAAGTAATTGTGGGCATTGGAGAGTTGGAAATTTGGGTCAGATTCAGAGGCGAGGCCTTCAAGGGGCCAGAATTCAGATGCTCTGCTAGATGAAGAGGAAGATGGAAATTAATTAGGGGATGGAGAATAGTTAGAATCTGGTCAGTAGGAGGACAGTTTGGCATATGGGACTCTGGGACACTAAGGATTTTTAGGGTAATAATGTAGGTCTTGAGCTGTTTTTTACTGTGGGCATTATTTCATGATTAGGTGATCTGAACTTCAATATATGACTGGGTACTTTGCTTTTGGCGATCTTAGTGCATCCTGTTAATAAGAGACAGACAGATGAGTCTTCCTATCTCACTTAGCTCTTGTGAGATTTTACTTAGCCTTGATTTAGGACTGTTTTGGGGATTTTGTTTGTTTGTTTGTTTTTGAGACAAGGTCTTGCTTTGTAGTGGAGGCTGGCCTTGAACACATTGGGTAGCCCAGGCTGGCCTCAAACTCACTGCAATCCTCCTGCTTCAGTCTCCCAAGTGCTGGGATTATAGGTGAATGCCACCACATCAGCTTTTGTTTTGGGGATTAAGTGAGGTAATATATGTAGAGAAAAATGCTAGAGGTTTAGTAAGTGCTCAATAAACATTTCTCCTGATTCCAGTTATATCAAATTGGTTTTCAGATTAGAAACCCTGGAAATAGGGCTGGGGATATAGCTTAGTGCAGAGTGTTTGCCTGAAATCCCTGGAAGCCATCTTTATATTTGTTGATTTTAAAATTGTTAAATGTATCAGAACTCAATAAATGCCCCCCCATTTTGGTCTGGGTGGGGATGAAGGTTGGAGGGGTGCGAGGAGTGCATTATGTATAATCTCTATAAACATTGGGTCTTCGGGGGGGAAATGAAAGGGATCTTTGAGGTGAAGAGTCTGAGACCCACTACAGGAATGAGGTAGGGTTCAGTTGGGCAGGTCCACTATCACAGGTCCAGAGTAGAGCAGCAGGGACAGTGTGTCAAAGAGAAGGCTCTAGGTGGGCTCTGCCTCCCACAGTCCCCCTCCCTGAAGCCTCTGTGGCTGCTTTCAAGATGAGGGACCATTATGTAAGACTCAAGCCTTTTTTTTTTTTTTTTGGTACCGGGAATTAAACTCTGGTCCTTGCACTTGCGCAGCAGGCGGCGAAAGCACTGAGCTAAATCCCCGGCCCCAAGACTCAGCCTTTTAATTTGCCTGTTACTATAAGACGCTGTTCTGCTGCTCAGCTATAATTCATTTATCTTTAAAGGTTTATAGCAATGCTTTCTCTCTCAAGACTTGTCTTTTTAAAAATTAATTTTATTGGTACATTTTAGATATGCATAATGATAACATTCATCATAGGAAATTTGTACCTGTACATGATAAATCTTGATTCTTTTATTTCCCTTTCCCTCTTCTCCTTTCAATCCCTCTTCCCTTCCTTATTTACAAAAGCTTTGTTTCCATTATTCCTTCTATTCTCTTTTTTTCCTTTTTATTTCCTTCCTTTTCCCTGCCCCTCTCCCTAGTTCCCCTTCCCATTTGAACATTTTCTTCCAGTTGAACATATCTGTTATACATTTTGGTCCTTATTTACACTTTCAGGTTCTCACATCAGAGAAACAATGCAATATTTGAATATGTGTATCTGATTTATTTCACTTAAGAGTGTGGTCTCAAGGTTCATCTATTTACCTGGGAATGTCTCAAGTTTATCCTTCCTTGTGGCAGAGTAATACTCCATTGTATGAAAAAACCACATTTTCTTTATCCATTCATCAACTGATGGGCAGTTGGGCTGTTTCCAAGCTTTAGCTATTACAAACTGTGCTACTATAAACATGGGTATGCATATGTCACTGTGGTATGATTCTTTTAATTCTTTCTGGAAGATACCAAGAAGGGGAATAGCTGGGTCAAATGGAACCTCTAGTTTTAGTTTTTTGAGGAATCCCCACACTGATTTCCACGAGGTTGCACCAGTCTACACTCCCACCAACAGTGAAGAAGGGTTCCTTTTTTTCTCACACCCCCTCCAGCATTTGTTATTGGTTGATTTCTGTTTTTTTTTTTTTTTTTGATTTCTTGATAGTAGCCATTCTTTCTGGAGTGAGATGGAATCTTTGCGTTGTTTTAATTTGCATCTCTCAAATGACCAGTGATGTTGAACATTTTTTCATATATTTATTTGCTGTGTCTACTTCTTCATCTGAAAAATTTCAGATGCCTATATTTGGATTGGGCTTTTAAATTTTGGTGGGGGGGGGTTCTTGTTTTTTTGAGTTCTTTATGTATTCTTGATAGTTGTCCTTTGAGGAACAGCTGGGAAAAATTTTTCTCTTCACTCTGTTGGTGGTTTCTTTTGTTGTGTAAAAGCTTTTTAATAAAATGAGATCCCAGTTGTTGATTCTTTGTGATAGTTCCTGTGCAATTGGGGTTTTGTTCATAAAGTCTTTGCCTACACCATTGTCTTCAAGAGTTCCACTTATTCTATCTACCAGCAGATTTAGTGTTTCTGTTTTAATATTTAGATCTTTGATCCATTTTGATTTGAGTTTAGTGGGTGGTGAAAGATATGGGTCTAGTTTTAATCTTTGGCAATTGGAAACTCAGTTTTTCCAGCACCATTTATTGAAGAGGCTCTTTCTTCCAGTGAAGGTGTTTGGTTTCTTTGTCAAAGATAAAGTGGTTGAGTATGTCTGGAGTTGTTTCTGCATCTTCTAATCTGTTCCATTGATCCTCGAGTCTGGTTTTTTT